CACACACACACACACACACACACACACACTCTTCCGGGCACGGTGCAGTTCATGTGTCCAAAACGGGAATGAATCTTCCCGCAAATACGGGAATATTCGTTCCCGTTTTGCACATATGAGCTGCGCGGTGGTGTCGAGGTGGGGGGCAGAGAGAGAGAGAGAGAGAGGGCCGACGTTTTTGATGCGGCACTCCCCGCAACGCTCTCTCTCTCTCTCTCTCTCTCTCTCTCTCTCTCGTTCCCCCGCTGCAACTCTCGTTTGCAAAAAGGGAATGAATCTTCCCGCCCTTCCGGGAAGATTCATTCCCGTTTTCTAAAGCTCTCTCTCTCTCTCTCTCTCTCTCTCTCTCTCTCTCTCTCTCACACACACACACACACACACACACACACACACACACACACAAAACACACTCTCTTCGGGGCATGGTGCAGTTCATGTGTCCAAAACGGGAATGAATCTTCCCGCAAATCGCAAATGCGGGAAGATTCGTTCCCGTTTTGCACATATGAGCTGCGCGGTGGTGTCGAGGTGGGGGGGAGAGAGAGAGAGAGAGAGAGGGCCGGCATTTTTGACGCGGCACTCCCCGCAATGCGCCCTCTCTCTCTCTCTCTCTCTCTCTCTCTCTCTCTCTCTTCCCCCACCCTCCCCGCGGTGCTCGTTTTTTCCTGTTCGTTTACATTCTCTTCTTTTTTTTTGCACTTTCTACTTTTTTTTTGTTTTTATTTTTTTTTCTCGACTTTTTTTTTTCCTTCTTGGTACCGGTCGTTCAGTGCCCGACCCCCGTCCGACGCGGCGCGTTAACGGCCGCGTCGGAGAAAAATTGCAGGGCGAGGTACTGGTGGTTTAAGAAGTGGCGCCATCACTTGCACGGTCACACTTTCACCGCTTTGACGGACAATTCTGTCCTCGCCGCCTTCCAGACGAAGCCTAAGCTCACTTCTCGCGAGGCTCGTTGGTGGCGTAACCTCTCAAAGTTTGACTTCGCCGTCAAGGAGATTTTCGGCGAAAACAATCGCGTCGCAGATGCCTTATCCCGCCACCCCGACCTTAAGTGCGAGGATCGTCAGCTATCTGCTATTTCATCTCCCACCATCCACCCCACCTTTCTGGATGAGTACCGCCGCGCATACACCCAATGCCCTGAGTTCAGTCCATCTACGCTGACCTGCAGACTGGCATTTCCGTCCCTAACTTCCAGCTTGATCACTCTGGACTCCTATATTGGCTTGGTCGCCAAGGTACTCATACTCCCCGCTTATGCGTGCCCTCTACTGGCCAGCTCCGCGTTCGGGCCGGTGTTGAGTGTCACGACCAGCGTGCCGCCGGTCATCTCGATGTCTTCAAGACACTTGACCGCCTCTACCGCCATTACTACTGGGAGCACCGTCGTCCCTTCACTAAGGAGTACGTCTGCACCTGCAGGATCTGCCAGGAGGCCAACATTCCCAACCACCCCCCCTACGGTCTTCTTCAACCCTTACCCATTCCTATTCAGCGTTAGACTTCTGTCTCCATGGGGCCTCGACGCCATCTTCGTCGTTGTCTGCTGGTTGACTAAGCATGCTCACTTCCTTCTTTGCAAGTATGCTAGTTCCGCCAAAGACATCACCTCCCTATACTTTAACCGCATTGCCATTCATCACGGTTTTCCCACTAGCATCGTCTCTGATCGCGATCCCTGCTTTACTTCTCACTTCTGGCGTGGACTCCATGAGATCTATGGCTCCGAGCTCCGCCTCTCCTCCTCCTATCACCCCCAGTGAGATGGACAGACTGAGGTCACCAACAAAACTCTTGGGAGTGTCCTCAAGAAGTTTGTTGAGAATGACGTTGATTGGGATCTGCAAGGAGATGGATGCGCTTCTTAGCAAGGCTCGAGAGAGCATTGCTAACTCCCAGACTCGCATGGCCACTCCCGCCAACCGTTCTCGCATTGGCCACCCCTTCAAAGTTGGCGACGAGGTCCTTTTCGACAAACGTCACTTCCATCCCGAATCTGACACGCTTCGGAAATTTAGACGTCGGTATACTGGACCATGAACCATTTTTGCACCCGCCAGACCCAATCATGCCTGTCCGGTGAGCTTCAAATTGAAGCTCCCCGATTCCATGTATCGCGCTAACCTACATGATGTGTTCCATGTATCTCTTTTGCGCCCCTTCAGACGGTCTCCTCCCGAGTTTCACGGTCGACCTTACCCTCACCCTTCTCCCATCATCATTGAAGGTCACGAGGAGTTTGTTGTCTCAGATATCGTATCCCGACGTATGACCGACGGTGATCCTCCCCGCCTCGAGTATCTCGTTCGATGGAAGGGTTGCCCTGACGGGGAGTCTACTTGGGAGCCTCTCGAGCACCTGAAGCATGCTATGACTTTCGTGCGTGCTTACGATCGTGCTCATCCTTTCCCTTCATCATCCTCCCCTCCTACTTCTCGTCCTTCTACTATTGACCCATCTACCTCAGCAACCACTAACATTCCCCCTCCTCCATCGATGGGTCCTCCTGCTCCACCGGTACCCGCCTCAGGTCCTCCTTCCCCTGTGGATGTGGTTCCACCTGTTGTTGAAGTTGATTCCTCTCGCCCTCACCGTACCTATCGACTTCCTTCTCGTTATCGTGATTGATCTATACCCCCTATACGCTCGCTATCTTTTACCATTCCTGGACACTTATGCAGCAGCCCCCGGTTTCGGCCTCTACATTCTGCTTCTACATTCGGCTTCTACAATCGACTTCTACATTCGGCTTCTACATTCGACTTTCGACCTCGGTGCTTCTCCTTAGTACCTGAGTGCAATGACTTGCTGGTTCCAGGTTGTCTGTAGCCTCTCTCAAACGAGGTTGTGCCATAGGTAGGGACAAATTCGTAATTTTGTTTGGCTGAGGGCTAACCGAGAGACCTTCCTGTAAGGAAAATTCGTGAGGGACATATTTGTAAATATAGGAAATATGGGCCCGATACTAACTCGAATTTCCCACAGCTACGCTAACTGCGAATAGCAGACCCGGACTACCCCTAGGACAGACTGGCCCAAGGGGCTTATGCTGATCCTATAGCGTATAGCCGGGTAGGGAGAGGCCCTAGGGGCCGAAACAGAAACGGTACCGGTCGGTCGGTCAGTCAGTTAGGTCTAGGTCGTGTCTAGGCTAGTCTAGGGTATAGATAGGATGGGGACATCGGTCCTGGGCTTTTCGACAGTTGACACTTCATGGTGGAAGTTGCTGCGCACACGGTATCAGGTCGCGGTGGCTGATTCCGGTGGTGGAGACGGTGGACATAGCCAGACCTTCGGAGCGCTGACCAGACTGGGGTCAACGCTGTCGGCTCTGACTCTCAGGGAGTCAAAGCGGTCTGGGCTATGATAGGTCTGATGCGTTGGAGCACGTGGTGCACTGCTCACCCTCCTCAGGAGTAGGGTCCCAGTGGCGATGCAGCCATTCTCAGAGGATATCATCGTCTGGACTTCATCTTCATCAGGGGCTGTTGGCGCTGAGCTGCTTCTTCATCATCTAGGTGGTGATTGGCTCTGGGAGCCTGTTTCACTTTGGCGCAGGCCACTGAGTTGAATGTCAGGGTGGCGCTGGGTATTACCTGGGGTTTCAGTGCTATTTTTAGTTGTTCCGGGTGGTGGGGTTGAGGCGCTACCCCACTGAGGGTAGCGCAACAGGATTCTGAGGTCATTTCAGTTGAACGGTGCTCTGAGTTCAATAAACAGTTGTAATACTGTGTTTGAGTTCTCATCTCTTCATTGATTTCTGGTTGTGATCACTCGGTTGTCTTCTATGAATGATTGTTGGGATTACTGTGGAGGGAATTCACTGAAATGTGTATTCTGTCACTTCGCTTCTCTGAGTCTTATGTTGCGTTTCCTTTTTTGGGCGGTGTGACCCTCCACTACCTCTCCCCTTGTGCATGTATGGGCATGTACGGGAGTTCCTGTGAGTGAGTGTTGATAAAATGAGTGAGTGTTGATAAAATTTCAACAGACAATCATGTTCATAACAGTTGGTATCGGAGCAGATCGAACCCAGACAGTGGCGAGATGATCGACTGAGGCAGCCATCACTACCTGAGCGCTTCTGACGTTGGATTTCATGGTGGAATCGCATCTCCAGTACTGCGCTCAGTAGGGTGTTGGTGAGGAGTGTGTGGCGGTTGGTATGACACAAAGATTGGTGGCGATTCAGTGCTCAGTGGTCTGGGGGGCACTAGGGGGCTATTTTTAGCCTAGGCGTTGACTCTGTTGGTGGCGAGATACCTGGGGATATGTCGAGTTTCAGATTCTGGGCGAGACACAGTGAATCTAACTAGTGGGGATTAATCGCCATATCAATAACTACAGTATTGCCAAGTTTCTAGGGATTCAGACCCAGCACATCTGAATTTGGGGCTCCAGTTCTCTTTGTTCCAAAGGGAAGTGGAGAATTCAGGATGTGCGTCGATTACAGGGGTCTCAATAAGATCACTGGGAAGTCTACAGAGCCCCTTCCTAGGATTGATGATCTGCTGGACATGGTGCAGGGCTGCACAATTTTCAGCAAGATCGATCTCAAATCTGGCTACCACCAGATTGCGATGGCTGAAGGCGATGTCGACACTTACGAGTACCTGGTTATGCCTTTCGGTCTTTGCAATGCCCCTGGCACATTCCAGACAGAGATGCATCGCATTCTCAGGCCTTACCTGGACAGGTTTGTAGTTGTATGCCTGGATGATATCCTGGTATTCAGTTGATCTGTCGAGGAGCATGCGCAGCATCTGGCTCTGGTTCTCCAAGCACTGCATGAGGCCCAGTATAAGATCAACAGAGAAAAGTCCTCCTTTGGAGTGACTTCTGTGACTTATCTGGGACATGTAATCTCTGGGGAAGGGCTAGCGCTCCTGAAGCAACAAAGGTNTTTGGAGTGACTTCTGTGACTTATCTGGGACATGTAATCTCTGGGGAAGGGCTAGCGCTCCTGAAGCAACAAAGGTTGCTGCGATTCAGGACTGGCCATAGCCTACCACAGTGCTTTGATGTTCGGTCATTCTTGGGTCTTGCATCATACTACAGAAAGTTCGTTAAGGACTTTTCTGCTATTGCTGCACCCCTGACTAATCTCACAAAGAAAGACACCCACTTTCTTTGGACATCAGACTGTCAGCAGGCTTTCACACGCCTCAAGGAGGCCTTGATGCGTGCACCTGTTCTGAAGTTACCTGACCCTACCTTGCCCTTTGTACTAACTACTGATGCTAGCCAGTATGGGCGTGTACGGGAGTTCCTGTGAGTGAGTGTTGATAAAATTTCAGCAGACAATCATGTTCATAACAAGAGTATCTGTCGCATTGTTTCGGACTTCTACTCGGTTCTTGCAGTACTCCTACTTCATCCAGGCTACTTCGGCTCGACTTCAGTCTGGAGACTCATCAGCTGGACTTCTTCCCTTTGTCGGCTACAGAGTTCCCATCATTCCCACCTATCCACCACCCTCGAGCTTACCCTTCAGTCGCATGATGACCCCTATTTTCCCTGTCTATGTGAGTGTGTCCGTCTACCGCCCCTCTACCTTACTGTATGTTGCGCGCCCTCCTCTGGAGTGTACGTTTTCTTTGCTCGCGGCTTTTGGCCACATGTCTATGCCGGCATAGCCCTTTCTCCTTCCAGGCTCACCTTATGTGTGCTCTCTTGTGTGAGTGTCCTTCCCCTTTCAGTTGGCGGTACCCGTTTGATGGTTTCCATTGAGCCCGGTGTCGTGCTGTTACTCTCCCTCTAAGCCTGATGACCCTTACCTGGTTGTGTGGGTGCCCCCTTGGAGTTGACTCTAAGAGCTGTACCTGCTGCCTTCCCACCCATTCCTACCTCTGCCATGCGACTGAGTTCCCTTCTCTTTTGTTCAGGTATTGTGCATTGTGTACACGACACGTGAGACTGTGCCACATTCTTTTTCGACTTAGGACATTGGTTTAGTTATTCTTTGGCCTTCAGGGCCCTGGTGTTGATTTATATTCAACCACTTTGGCTCAGGAGACATTTTTCTCTTTCTTGGCTGACACGGGTCAGACATTTTTCTCTTTCTTGGCCGACACAGGTCAAACATTTTTCTCTTTCTTGGCCGACATAGGTCAGACATTCTTCTGCCTTTTGGTTCGACTCAGTCCGCACATTGTTGCATAGATTAGGCTTGAGGCTTAGTTTGCATTGCATCTCTTTTCCTGCATGGAGCTTGCTCCGCATCTAGGATTGTTTCCTTTGCCGTTCCTTTTGGGTTTCCGCTATTTCAGCGGATAGCGTGTTTGATGTAGCGCTCGATCCATTCACAGGTCCGAGGATCGTGTAGCGGTACCCCTACGCCCCGCCAGTGAGACCGGACTAATTTCAGGCCGTCGGCCTGACCCTGGTCCGGTACCAGGTTATTCCCGTACCTGGACCTAGGTAGGTATATCACTTCGGCCTAGGCATAGATCCGGCCGGTCAGTTGGTTCATTCATTCTTGATTCGTTCGTTCATTCGGTCGGACTGGACCTTGACTCAGCTGCTGCTTCTCGTGTGTGCCCATCTCCTCTCTCTCTCTCTCTCTCACCATCTACGCACGTGCCATCTGCACGTGCGTCACACACACACACACACACACACACAAAGGGAGGGAGAGAGAGAGAGAGAGAGAGTGTAGCATATCAGAAAGTGAAATGCACTGAGAGCCTAGGATCTAGCAATGACGAAAGTGGCAACAACCAGCAGCATAGGTGCAACATTCACAAGATGTCAATGTGCACGATGCAAAGAGTGAACCAACGAGAAATCAACAACAACACATTCGTATCATTATCATCATGGGCTGGGAAGCAGCGCAGCGGAAGATTTAGTAATCAAAGGACACGTGGACAAACAAACATTAAGGGGAGAAACTTCGGAAGGGCAAGACATCAGAAAGATTGCCCTTCCGCTCACACACATGGGGAGAGATCCATAGATGTACAAAAGAGGAGGGATATAGGAGGTAACCAAGTCCAACCCAAGTCTGATCTCCGAATGTCATACACAGTTCACCCCCGATGTAGAGTGTAAGTCCGATCTGAATGTCGTGTCCAAGAAGGCAGAAGGCCGTGTCCAAATAATGTCTGCAGTCACCTCTATCTCTACTATGAAGAAGAAGAAGAAGAAGAAGAACTTCGGAGGAGTGGGAGGAGATGAGGAGAGGAGAAGAAGAAGAAGAAGAAAGCTAGACGCTTTCTGCACTTACCTAGCGATGGCTGAACTTGCAGGTACCGCGGAGCCGGCTATGGCGCTGGTACGGGTAAGTCCTCTCCTCTCTCTCTCTCTTTCTCTCTCTCTCTCTCTCTCTCTCTCTCTCTAACTAACTCCACTACTCTCCTCGGCGCTGGACTCCTCCAGCGCTGTGCCTCATTGCCGATGAACAGCGCAGCTGCAGTCTCCAAAATAGCGCAGCAGGGAGTCTCCAAAATAGCGCAGCAGCCAAGTTCCTGAACCAGTATAACGCTGGATTTCTCCTGGTACCTTCTGTGCAGAACTGGGTGTTGGCCCAACTTAAGTAGTGTTGGGCCGGACCCAGTGAGTCCACGGCCTGCGTTCTGTACCGTGCAGATCGAAACTCCGATCCGGTCCAGATCGCAGGCTTCGAAACTGGTTCAGTCCTTGGCCTAAAACGGCCTGCCTGGGTCCCTACCGGACGTCCAAGCCTTGCCCAGGACTGGGCCTGTTCGGTACCTGGTCCGATTCAGGGCCTGTGCGAATGCATTGGGCCTGAACGTCGGTCCAGGTTCGAACGGTCCGAAATCTGTCCGAAAACAAAAAAGGTCCAAACGTTTTTAGGAGCTCAGCCTCTGGGCCTGAATCTGGCCCTGGTCCTAAAACGTGTACCTGGCCACAAAACGGACAACAGTACACATGTTAGAAAAACAGCACCAAATAAATAAATAAAAGAATATAAAAATAATCTAAAGCTGGCGTTTTCTGATGCAGGCCCAAGTAAAAATGCCATAGGGCCTTCAGGTTGCGGTGACGCGACCTGGGGGCCCTATTCCAACCTCGGGTTCCGTGAGGGGCCCGTGTGTAGGCTTTCAGCATGTAACAGGCCCCCCTCCTTATGAAGACGAGCCGGGGCGCAGACGAAGTTGCCGATCCGATGGCGGAATGTAGCGAGGAAGGCGAGGAGCTGGAGTGCTCGGCGTAGTCTTCCCTTTGCTAAGATAACGTGAGAGAACGACGGGAGTTGTGGCCTGCAGTTCCGAACGCGTCAGCCAACGGTCAGCCTTATGGCTGCAGTAGGAAAAGTGAAGTAGAAACTCTGTTTCTTTGTTGCCATGGCGCCGGTCGGTGATGATGTAGCCGGCCTCCTGAAATCCGTCCATGGAAGGAGGGTCTTGCGTACGTCGACCGGGAAACTCGTCGGACTCAGCTGAAACAAACGGAGCGAGTTTGGAACAGTGGAACACCGTGTGGACTGGCAAGTGAGGTGGCACCGCGATGCGGAATGAAGGCCCCTCGGGATCATCACCAACTGCAGAGAGAATGCGCCAAGGCCCCATCCACTTGGGAAGGAGCTTGCGAGAGATGGCTTGCTCAAGGTTGAACTCCGCGGCGGAGACCCAAACCAGATCGCCGGCGCGGAACGGGCAAGGAAGGCGATTGCGGTTGGCTTGACGGCTCATCCGTGTTTGCGTCTTTGACATCTGATCCCGTGCCTTGACAAGAAGCTCTTGCATGCGACGAAGGAACGCAAGATGGTCGTCGCTCTCGGCTGTGCGCGGCAGAGTGGCGTCCAGCGGCGATGAGATGGGTGAACCATGCTCAAACTCGAATGGCGACATCCCGATAGCCGGGTGGATTGATGAGTTGTTAGCCAACTCAACGTCTGGCAAGCTCTCAACCCAATCAACCTGGTCGGGACGGATGAGAGTGCGTAGAAGGACTTGAGCGGTCTGATGCGCCCTTTCCGTTTGACCATCGGTTTGCGGGTGGCAAGCCGAACTCGGCTTCAAAGATGAGCCCCATCGCTTGACGAGGGCGACCCAAAAGTCGAAGAGAAAGCTAGTGTCCCGGTCACAAACGATCTCCTTGGGGTAGCCCTTGGACCGAATCCAACCGGTGTATAAGACCTCGACTAACTCCGGTGCCTTTGCGTGATAGCGGCAAGGCAAAAACATGGCGTACTTGGTGAGGCGGTCGACGACCGTGAGGATCCCATCCACACCGGTCTTGTGCTTCGGGAAGGGGCCGGTGATATCCATAGCAATTGCTTCCCGTCGCCCAAGGGGCACTGGTAGTGGGTGTAGCTTGCCTAACGGAGGATGGTTGCGCGACTCGCAACGCCGACAGACTTCGCACGACTCACAATAGCGGGTGGCTTCCTTGAGAAGGTCGGGCCAATAGAACCGCTGGCGAAGTCGGCCAAGTGTACGGTTGACACCAAAATGTCCGGAGGCGGGCGCATCGTGAAACTCGCCAAGAAGCCGTGTGCGCAAGTGTGAATCACTCGGCACACAAAGAAGATCCTTACCCCGTGAATGCACAAGTAAGCAGCCCTCTTGGATCCGATAATGCGAAGGCACCGGATTCGGAGAGGAGCAATTCGCGTGCTTGTCGCGAAAGTGGGGGTCGGCTTGATAACCACGGATGAAGCTCTCCCGCAAGTCGTCGTCGATCTCGAAGGTAGAGTAGACTACGGTGCAAAGATCCGGTCGCCGAGAGAGGGCGTCCGCAAAACGGTTTGACTTCCCAAGAATGTGATCGGGGAAAAAGTCAAACTGGTCGATGAAAGCCATCCAACGGGCAATGGTACTGTTAATCGTGTCTTGCGACTTGTAGAATACCAACGGATTGTTATCCGTTACCCATCGGAATGSTTTYCGACCAAGGAGGAAATGTTGCCAACGCTTGAGGGCGTGGACGAAGGCAAGAAGCTCCTTCTTCCGTGTGTCGTCAATCGAATGCACGGGAGGTACTTTCTTGCTAAAGTACTCGACCGGGTGCCAGTCCGTGCCATCGTGCTGCTCGGGGACGGCCTCAATGCCATAGCCCGACACATCAGTAGTGACGCGCGTAGCTAGAAGCGGGTCGTAAATATGTAACACCTCGGCGGACAAGAGTGTCGCTTTGAGTGTTTCAAAAGAATGACGCATATCGTCGTCGAAGTCAAAAGGCCGCTCCTCGCTTTGTAACTTGCTTAGGTTGACCGTGATCTTCGGGTAACCCTTGATGAAGCGCTGATAATAACCGGCCAAGCCGAGGAAGGATCGGACGTCCGTCACATTCTTCGGCTCGGGCCACTTTTGGATGGCTTGAATCTTGTCCGTCAACGGACGAATACCTTCCGGAGAGACAGAATGGCCCAAGTATTCAAGCTTTTGCTGGACAAACTCGCATTTGTCGCGGTTAGCTTTGTACTGGGCTGACCGAAGAGTCTCTAGAACACGGCGAAAGTGCTCGAGATGCTCCTCTAGAGTTCGGCTATAGACGAGGATGTCGTCTAAGTAGACGAAGACGAAGCGGTCCAACATAGCGCGAAACTCGGTGGTCATGGCCACCTGAAAGGTGGTCAGGGCATTGGTGAGGCGAAAAGGCATAACTACCCACTCAAAATGCCCATATCGCGTCTTAAACGCGGTTTTGTACCGATCTTGCGGGCGGATGGAAATCTGATGATAGCCCGATTTGAGGTCCAACTTCGAAAAGTACTTGTCCCCGCCCAACCGCTCAAGCAAATCGTCAATGCGAGGTAGAGGCCCCGCATTCTTGATGGTTTGCGCGTTGAGGCATCGGTAGTCAATGCAAAGTCGAAGGTCCTTGTTCTTCTTCCGAACGAAGAGAACAGGCGCACCGTAAGGTGAGCTGCTAGGGCGGATCCATCCCTTTTCAAGTAGATCGTCGAGTTGCGCACGGAGAACCGTGAGCTCCTCCTCGGACATGCGATAAATGCATCCCTTTGGTGGCACGGCGCCGGCCTCGAGTATGATCTCGTGGGAGATCGGCCGGTCCGGCACTATACCGGAGGGTGTCTCAAAATCATCCGAGAACTCGTCTAACAACCGGGTCACACGGGGGTCGGAAGACACATTCGTGGACGATGAATCGGTCGTCGGGACGGTTGGAAGAAAAGCGATGCCAATCTCTTCGACATGCTCGGAACGGCATGTGTCTCGAAAAGATTTGGCACTCACGACTTGGCACCGAATGGAAGAGCGAGGAGTAGGAATAGTACACGGGACCTCGGCGCCAGTTGCATCACGAATCGTGAGCGTGCATCGATGGAAATTGACCGTGTGGTCCGCGCTAGAAAGCCAAGGCATCCCCAAAATGACATCAAAGTCGGTGTCCAACACGTCAAAAGTGACGGGTTCACATGCGTGCGGTGCACAGTACACCGGGACAGCCGAGATGTAACGGTCTAAAAGCTGTTTCGTCTTTTCGTCGGCAAGAGCGAATGTCGTCGGATGTGACTTCCTCCGTACTTGTGCGCCAAGGCCAGCCCGAGTCATGAAGGACTGGCTGATGAAGTTGCGAGTTGCGCCGCAATCTAGCAAAGCGTTGCAGGCCCCTTGCCCAATCTGAATGCGAACGTAGAGCAACGGTGCGTTGTTTTCTCCGTACTGTTGCGAGACAAACTCGCGGGCCACCTTGGTAACATAGCCAAGCACGTCCCCCACCGCGACTTCGTCTACCGTCGACGAAGTTGGTGGTGCATGGAAGGAAAGATACTCGTGTAAGAGGGCGCATAGTGCTGCGCTTTGCGGCCCTGGAAGGTTGCTCGTCGCAGGGAGAGAAATCCAAGCGAAGTCCTCGGGCGTGAGCGGGTCCAAGACCTCCTCGTTGAACATGCTTGCCGAATCCCTTGATGAAGACGAAATGGCGGAAGAACCTTCAGACGGTGAGAAAGCCGCACATGTATCTTGTCCTTGAGAAGCATCCAGTGAAGGAACGAGCCGGGCAGCGAAGTCTTCGAATGAAAGTGGAAGACTCCCGACATCCGCATATGCCTCGGAAGAAAGGGCGGTCGTGCGCACAACCGCTTCCGATGGCATCGAGGGAGGTGTCGAGTCACCCTCGGCGGCGCCTACTTTTCCGAACGGGGTTTCCCCTTGGTGGGGCAATGTGCAGCATCGTGGATGGTGCTATTGCACAAGGCAGTAACGGTACTTGAGTCTCGTTCGATAGGAATTCGCCGAGAGTCCGTATTGTGGCCAAGGTTCGTCGGCCGCTGATCCGGTGCTCGTTGTAGAGGTGGACTGAGTCTTCGTCTTGTCGCGGCCGTGATTGTTGCGCGGCCGGCCACCATCCGGGCAGCTGCCAACACTTCACCCTCGTTTGGTGTTGCAGCCTCGGTAGAAGTAATGCAAGCCACCTTTGGCTTGGGCTGGGTGCTGCTCGTCGTCGCGGAAGATCGGCCGGCGTTGCGGGCTTCTATATTCGTGAGAATGATCCGTGACACTGTGCTGAAAAGCTTGTCAGATGTGTCGAGTGTCTCTGCAATCTGCGTCAGCGCGTTTTGCAGAGCTGGACACGAGCGCATGATAAACAAGTGCTTGATGGCGCGGGTGCGAGCGGCAGGTCAGGTGTGGAGGCGAGTCTTTGGAACTCGGTAATCCAGTCCTGACTGAGCAGCGTGTTCTGATGGAGCTTGTTGAGCTTGTCCATCGCTTGCAGGTCGGGCGGCTCCACTTGGAATCGCTTGTGCCAGGCGTCAGTCAACTTCTGCCAAGTGAGCTTGGTGTGCAGTTCCGACACTGCTACGTCGTGGCTGGTCAAGATGTTGTCCAGCCATGCTTGACATGCACCACCAGATCGGTGGTACAAGCACGGATGTCGATCGTTGTTCGGGACATGGTGCATGTCGAGCCTGAGAGTAAACTGGCGCCACCACGGGATCGGTTCCGTCTTGGACTGATCGCAGAAAACTGGAATGTCATCCAGTTTGGGTGGGCACCGGGAGGATGCGGCCGCGGGCGTCACGGTGGCAGCAGCCTGGACCTGCGTCACCAACTGCAAGTTCGTTGCTTGCTGCGACGTCCTGAAGTCCTGATGCACACGCTTGATATTGCTGACGTCATCCTCCAAGACTTGAACGCGGGTGGTAAGGTTGGAAGGCCCGGCGGCTGCTACAGCAGCTGGCTGTTTCTCCAACGCCTGCAGCCGTGTAAGCATCTGGTCCACTGTCTGCTGCAGGTGAAGGATTTTCTCCTGCTGCAGAGCGCAGGTGGCCACGAGGTCGTGGGAGATCTGCACAACGGCGGACAGCCCTTTGTCAGTCTCCGGGGCCTCGTCTGCAGATGCCATCGCCACCCAATGTGCGGTCTCATCGCCGATCACGGTCTCCCGCGTGAACAGTTGTTCCCGCTGGCGTGACCGGTGTACAGCTGCCGCCTGCAGGTCTGCCTCCTCTTGACGAAGTCGGTCCTGTTCCTCCTTCCGTCGCTTGGCCTCCTCTTCTTGCTCAATCTGACTACGTTCCTTGGCCGCGGCAGCGGCCCTATCGTTGGCCTCTTGGATGAATGCCGCCAGGCGTTCCTCGTAGGCCAGGAGGGATTCTCCTGCCTTCCGGTCCATGGCCTTGGTCTGTGATCGAGTGAGCAGTGGCATGCACTGTCGTGCCCGCACTCTGAAGAGTCACTTATGGGCCAATCAGATAGACTGGCCCAGTACCCGGACTGGAGGGGGAGGAACAGGTAGGCAGCAGACAAGTGGGAAGGATCGAACAGATCCCAAATTGGACAGTTTCCTAATCAAGAAAAAATAATAATAATTTTTGATTAAAAACATAAATCGAAAATTCCAAAAAAAAAGACTGTCCAATCCCACTGAGTGCCGAAGGTGATGCAGAAAGCAATTGTGAACCTTCGGTGCTCGGACTGCAGAGAATCAGAAAAGA